AATAAACAGCCATTAAGATAATCATTTAGTTCAGAAATATAATAGATAATTGCATACTGATCAATCTGAACATCTTCCCTGCATAAACTTTTACTTCACAAGCCTGCTGGCTACAGGTCATTAAAAAACTGCGCTGATGGGTTTGTTGTCAACCTTTGTTTAGACCGGCCAGAACCTGAAATGAAACACCAATTTCAGCTGTACCAACACAAATTCTTACTCACCTTATGATAGCTAATTCATCTTCTAGCTCTTCCTCAGTAGCATCAGCATCCTCAGAAAAAGTCTGTCTACACATTTCTACAAAGATACAAAAAAGCTTGTATTATATAGATGTTCCTGGATAAATACCAATTCAGGAAATGTTAATTTAACTCTTCTTCCTAAAGTATGTAATTTACTGTACCTTCTGCCTTCCTGAGCTTATCCTCTGCCTTTTTGTACAATCCTTTGGCTAAATGGAGACAAGCACTGTTGTACAAAAGTTCATAACTATCTTCTTCCAGTCCAAGGTCTTCCTATGTAACATCAAATTATTAAAACATTAAAATAACAATAAACTTAAAAGAGGCAAAAACAAGTTTAAATCTCACTTAATGTAGTAAAATTGTTGTAGTGTTTAACAATGCCATTAAATATTTGAAGCTTTAAAAAGCATTCATTAGTTATCTTATAAACAGAGTATAAAGAAGTCCCATACCACATCTTGTGTTCCTGATATCTGCAATGCAGCCATAACTGCTGAGAAATTGGTGTACCGTTCTTGCTCAAAGTCATCCTTGAAATAAAAAGATACAATATCCAGACTAAAGTGTGAGTTACAATGTAAATTTCAGCCAAAAAGATTACCCTAATTGTTATCAATTGAGTTTTTAACTTAATAATAACATCATTAACTAGTAAACTTACCTCTGAATTCTTAACCAAATTCTTGTACAGTGAGTAACATTCCTCATAATTCTCCAATCTGTACAGCTGAAAATAAAATTTAAATTTTAAAGATAATTGCCAAACCTTATAATACGAATTAAATCCACTGCATTAAAGTTTTCTTTGTCAATTTGCTCTTGAAGACTTTAAACAAAAAGACTCATGCATCTCAGCAGCAACAATAAACATATCCACACCATTACATTTATTTCAAACGACCTAACAATGCTAGCACCGGGCAAAATTCTATTTGATAACTTATTAAACATGACTCAGTCAGATCCCCAAAGAAATAGTCCTTATGTATGACTTTCACATTTTTCCTTATTTTCTTTTATTTTCCATATTTTATAGAGATAGTGAAATCGCATGTATTCTGAGGTTGAATGTTCTGACTATATGAGGAGGTCACACGTGATGTTGTACACAGCACTTTGAGTAGTTATGTATGCAACAATCATTACAATGGGTGAAAATGATGAGCTGGAAATCCATCAATATTTTTTGGTACAGCCAACAATAGCTCATTTACATTTAACCTGCATTCTGACAGGGCATTTAATTAGAGAATACTTTTAATCTCTTCCTGAAGACATAAATAAAAGTACCCTAAAAATTTGAGCAGAGATCCCAAGGCAGTGAGCACTTACCACTTGTGCCATCAACTCCTGAACCCTGACGTCTGGATCTTCAATCTCCCTCAGTGTTACCAGAGCATCACTGGTCTTGTTTAAACGGTACTGGCAATAGGCTTTCTCAAAGACGAGTTCTCTGGAAAGTTGCAATTTCTCTGTATTTAATTGCCTTTTAAAGTGAACATACTGTCTCCATTGGTCCATGGTTGCAATGATACCAAATGTTGCAAAACCATTCTAAAACTATTTAATTCACATGCCGAGACAATTTATTATAATTGATAAATTAATTAATATATAAATTAATTTATTATCAGATAATATCAGGATTATTCTTTCAAAAAACAATCTTAACAATGTCTGCTTCAGTAGTCTTGAAAGTGTAATGAAATTACCCCTGATGTTTACTGGATGTTATTTTCTTGAGAGCGTCTTCAAATTCCCCGAGGTGAACCAGGCATACAATTTTGCAGTGGAACGCAGTGACATCATCTGGAAGTTCTTGGAGAACTGTCGAGAAATTGAAAGCATTTAAAATCTCAAATCTTCAAACTGACACTCTTAATCCAAATACTAATGGATTGAAGGGCTTTAAATGGATACCATAACAAAAGAAATGGCTCTATTTGCTAGCATTAGTGGTAATAGAGAACAATATGGCTGTTGATTTTTGGCACCCCTAATTTTAGTTCACTATAATGACCGAAGAGGAAGCTTTTTCTTACCCAAGACTGTGTACTTACTTTTGTTTGCAGTCTTAAGTGCTTTCTCATAATCCTGGTTTTGCCCAAATTTATGCAAATCGGCAAACAAAGTTGCCACATTCGCCGGCTGTTGAGACATCTTGCTTCTCTCGTGGAAGAGGAAGTCTTGGTCTTGATATTGTGTTAGAGGCGACACCACGCATGCAAGTTAGCATTCACTCTCGCCAACTGGAGGTTCGTTTCACCTTGCCGGCGAAAATCAAGGTCAAGCTGCTAACCTTCAAACAACTCTCCTGCTCGAGTAGATTGAGGGAATTTGGAATGGCAAACTATAAAATTGTTCTAGTGCGACATGGAGAGAGCGTCTGGAACAAGGAGAACAGATTTACCGGCTGGACTGATGTCGACTTGTCTGATTTCGGCGTCGGTGAAGCTATAGCAGGAGCAAAGGTGAAGTTGGTTTTTTTCTTTTTGTGGCATACAGTACATTAATGATTTATTCTAGTGTTACTTGCAGAATGATGAATGCGAGTGGAATGTTACATATCCGTAATCCCCATCCCATTGTTTGCACTTAGCCAGTGATTATGGACTTGCAAATTTTATCTCAGAGAATGATGAAGATTCGCATGAAATGTCAGAATGAACTTATAACGTCGGGATTGCAACTGGAATATTATATTATATGGGCCACTTGAAAAAAAAATGGTTAATTTTAAATAAACTAATAATAAAAATTTGTGAAATACAAAAAAAAAAAAAAATCAAATGTCTTGCTTGGAATAGTATAGTTACTGTATTTTATTTTATTTTTTAAATTAAATTGGACAATCATGCAAATGCTGGACAAAAAAACCACCATGCTGATAAATGGAGTTCACCATGAACTAATGTGCAACATAAAAAGCAGTTTCAAATATATGCTATTTGTATAACAAAGGTTAAAACATTATTATCTTGCAAATGTTAAAGTTGAGAAAAAAGACACCATGCTGTTTAATAGAGTTCACCAAGAAGTAAAGTACAAAATAAAGAGCAGATTCAAATATATGCTATTTGTATAACAAAGGTAAAACATCACCATCCCAAACATAAAAGTTGAGAAAAAGAAACACCATGCTGATGAAGGAAGTTCACCAAGAACTAATGTACGACATAAAAAGCAGATTTAAATGTGTGCTATTTGTATTACAAAGATGATTATTAAATATATGATTACAGTGGCGTCAATAGGTGCAGAAGTTTTATTTTATGCTCTGTGTTATTTGTTGTTCAAGAATTAAATTTTCTGTTTCAATATATTAGCCATGAAAACATCAAAAAGAGCTCATTTTAACCTTTGTTTTTTATTTGCTAAAATTGAATTTTTACTTATCAAAACAGGATTGTCCCTATTTATATCCTTTATGAATGTCCTTCCTAAACTTAACTTTTTATCCATAAAAGTTGTTCATAATAAAATACCAGTTTAATCCTGTAATCTGGTACAAAGAAAAATATTGTGTTTGTAGAAAAAATAACCTAAAAATAATTTTTGAAATGACCCACATTTGATGTGTTATCAATAGAATGAATATTACAAGAAAAATTGTTAAGATTTTCACACATTGTACAACCAATCATTCTCACTTTTCAAAATAATTAACTTTTAAACTGTCTCAACACTGATTGATTTTCAGATGTTAAAAGAGGCTGGCTATACTTTTGACGTAGCCTTTACCAGTGTATTGAAACGAGCCGTGAAAACTTTGAACATCGTACTAGATGAGTTGGATCTTCACTGGATCCCAGTTCACAAACACTGGAGACTCAATGAAAGGCACTATGGTGCATTACAAGGTCTTAACAAATCTGAAACAGCTGTCAAACATTCTGAAGAACAAGTCAAGGTAAGAAATGGGTTAATGAAATCCCTTGGCTTTTTGTTTCATTCAAAACTTTCATTCTCTCATTTTTTTAAAAATTATTATTGGTCAAATATTATAGGGCATAAAGTGTTAAGTCTTTTTTGAAGCACTCATGTCTTTTATCTGGAAAAAGCACTAAGAGTCATAATATTTGTGTGCCACTTATTTTCATTTTCTCTTTTAGATCTGGCGTAGGTCCTATGATACTCCTCCACCACAGTTGGAAGTGTCTGATCCCCGCTGGCCTGGTCATGACCGCAGATATCAAGTAGGGATCTTACACTTTGAATAAACAATTCTTCTACATGGAATTCTCTCGGTGATAAAAAAGATGCTATACAGGAAAATTACTCATGCATACCTTATGATATAAAGCGATTCATATTTTTGCTGTTATTTTGCAATGGAATTCCTGCTTTTCGCCGATTTTATTTCATTTCTTATTTGAATTTTTTATTTTCTGTTTTCCTTATTTCTGAAGGTCTATTTTAACTTGTGTCCAGACATTGATTTTTTAGAAAAAAATGAAAGAAATTTGTGTTGCCAAATAGACTTAGTAAATTGATGTACTCATTTAATAAATACACATACACACATTGTTTGTATTTCAGGATATGGACAAGCGTCTAATTCCCACCACAGAATGCTTGAAGGATACTGTAGAGAGAGTACTTCCATACTGGTACGATGTTATTGTTCCAGCCATTAAAGTAAGTGCATTACATTAAAAATTTACAAAACTATATTATTATAAAAATTTGACCTATAGGATACTTAAACTTACTGTATAACTCAATTACCTGCTACAGTAGTGGTGAAGAGAGCAATAGGAGTTCAAAGTATATTTTTCCTATGTGATAGTGAAACTGTATTTTAGGCTGCTAGTCGATTGGAGAAATTATAATTTACACAGCTGATTTATCTGGCGTATAGTGCTATACGCCTTTCATCCAACCCAGCCCAGGAGAACTATAGCACACAAATGAAGTTGATGATATTCTATAAGGCATTTTGAAATGATGTTTAGTTTCAGTATGTTAAGTCAGCATAAATTGCTAAATCAATATTGTCTTAACTTTTCAGTATTAAACATTCTGCATACCGTTTAATCAGTGTTTGTTTGCCTGCAAGATCATTTCAGTTGAGAAATTATTATTGTAATTTTCTTGTTTGTAGTCTGGCCAACGTGTCCTCATCTCTGCCCATGGAAACAGCCTGAGAGCACTGGTCAAGTACTTGGACAGTGTTTCAGATTCTGAAATTGTTGAACTCAATATACCTACAGGTTAGCAAAAGAATACTTCATCATCATATTTTATATGCTTTTTGTGGATGATCTGTCAGACTTCATTGTCAGTAGCTGCTGTCTTCCTCCCTGGAGGTTTTGTGCCTTTCTAGTGAGCTGTTATTTCAGGCTTGCTTTTAAACCATTGTGGTATGTACTCTTAGATACCCTGCATTTCATTGTGAAATGGTTTTGAACTTGTTGAAAGTTGGACATTTGGATGCTTACCAGAAATTAGGGGTTTACTTTCAAGTTATGATAAATTATCATATGTGATATATCAGTAGTAGGCAATTCCTTATGAAGATTTTCTTACAAGTTTTCAAGTTAAAAGGGTAATGGAATTGCTTTATTTTCCCTCTCAAGAGACAGATATATATATTTTGAAAAATGGTCATTACAAAGAGCCAGTCATATGATGTAAATCATATGTTGTAAAAAAAAAGTTTAAGTGTGGACAATTTCTTGGCCCCTTTCAAATATTGATTACTAAACCATAATCAAATTTGCTTGTAGTTTGCTTTTGCTTCCATTATTTTTATTGTTAAATGCACAGTTCACAGCTATTTCACTCTTTCTTCAGCATGGTGCACCCAAGGCATGGGGAGCTTTGTGCTTTTCTGTTTCTCATTTGTTGAAGTATTATCATCATGCATATATATGTAATTAATAAACCACTCACCAAAAGCTGAATTTCAAACAATACATTATTTGCATTTAAATTGTTTCGGGAAATGACTTGGTTATTAAGCAGCATTTTAAAGCGATGAAAGTGTATTTCTCGCCCCTGATTTTGAATGATTTTAATGACTTTAGAATGTCACTTTAATTCTAACCTCTTTAAATCATAAATATTGCAGTGTTAATTAATTTTTTGCCAATTGAAAATCCCCGAGAAACTGACCCATGAATAAAAACTGCCGAAATTTTATAATCATTCTCATTACCAGTGTTTTCTTTATTTCATTACAGACTATCAACCAAATGCTTTTTTACAGGAGGAGTTGGAGCAATCCTACCTTCCTGGTAATACACAATCTAAAATTAGGCTTTTGGACCTGTAGTATGCTATAACAATCTTTCACTTCAAATCTTAGACACGCTGTCTACAAATTAATATCTCTCATTTCATCTATGGGGAAAAAGGGTCTCTTGGTATATACATTTTCTTGGGATATCTGTTTGTAAAACGCATGGTGACTTGCTTCTTGCATGTGGATGAATTGTCTGTGTTGCACCAATCCCTGTAGCTTGCTTGTGCATGGTGTGGCACATATAATGGTTTAAGCATTTTGAATGCCATGGGAATGTTGAACTTTAAGTGTATTTTATAGGGGAAAGAGAGAACATAATTGAATTCATTTAAGGGTTTTTAATTTTTTTTAATCTTTGAAAATGTGATTTTTTTACAATAGAATAAAAACAAGAAAATTAAATCTCTAGTTACCTCCCCACTCATCTCATTTTATAAGTTAAACAAGAATCGTGATTATATGTAATAAAGTAAGTCAGATTATAAAGTTTTCATTTTACTGTAATAAAATCAAATGTTTAAATAGGATCAAATAAAAAATATATTGAGCTTAAGATGTAATTTGTAGAATAACAATCACCCAGACCCAAAAAGCTTGATTGCTGGTTTTATTTAATGAGCATGCATTTTGATTTTTCTTTATATTGTTTTCATTTATCTACAGTATCTATATAGTCCAGAATGTTTTCATCATTTAATTTTTCATTGACTCATTGTTGCCTAGAATTTTGCTTTGCTTTCACCTTATATTCTTGAGTGTCAAGCATAGTGATCAAGTAATTATCAACTTCTATGTAGTTTAGAATGGACGTTTTGTTTTCAAAACAACCATACATTGATTACTGTGCCAAGTTTTTAGAAATGAAAGATATTTGCTGCATAGAATTTTGGCAGTACCTACATTTATTTTGATGTTGCTTCACTTATCATTTAGAAAACTTAACTTCAGCAATACCCTTTTCTTATTTGTAACTCTTTTATCATCATACAACTTTTTTTTGTGATTTTAAATCTACAGAGGTAGTTTTTGACATCCATCATGCTCAATCTGAAGAGTATATACTGGGTGCATAGAAAGTTCCTATCATTTTTAAATTCTCCTCAAAAAGTATAATTCAACAAGATTTCTTTATACAACTTCATGATGTTACCTGTGGAACAAAAAGCTTAAACTCAATTGCCTTTATGAAAGCCATGTGGTATTGAATACAAAAAAGGTGTTTATTTTTAGTTTTGATAGCATCTTGGTCTTTTTATTTTTTAATACACTTCATACAGTCAGACTTTCAGTTGGTAATTGCAGGGGGAGGGGCACATTCCATGCAATTAAGTTGAAAAAGAACATCATGGGTAATGTGTGTCCAAATAAATAAAGAAACTTGATCACATTTACAATACTCTGCTAGTAATCACAGCATTGAGGCCTGGCAAGACAAGTGCATGGTTTTTGAATTGTCACTGAAGGCAAATGTAATGTCGACATTAGAGCTTCTAGGAAGATACATTCCTTGTAGATGACAAGACGTGCTATATTGTAATGAAAAACAGAGACTTATAGCAACATGCAAGTGAAGAAGCCAGCTTAATCAACTTACTGACTAAATTACTATTTAAGCCTCTATGTATTTTATTTTGACATTGCATTTTTGAAAAAAAATTAATTTAATCACTGCAGGGGTATTGCAGGCATTGTTGTCAAGACTTATATGATCCAGAGGCAAAATCATGAAGTAGTAATAAGCGAAATGTCATTGAATTATAATAGATACTTTTTTAGAATAAAATTTGAAGATGGGGACTTGTTTTATATGTCTGCTTCAGCACACCTTGTATACACATAGTAATTGGGTCAGCTATTTTTATCAGTTATACGTAAAGCCTATTATACAGGTATATCATTTTTTTGTTGTTAAAAGGGATTGGGACCTATAAATCAAATATATTATAGGAGAGTGTCTGGTTATGTGAGGTCTTCTGTCAACAATTTTTTCAATCCTTGTCTTTTGTTATTACTAAATGCATTCTCTTCTGTAGGTATCCCTTTGGTGTATGAGCTCAACGGGGACCTGACCCCAATCAAGCACTACTATATGGCTAGTGACGAGGAAATCAAAGCTGCTTTGGAGAAGGTGGCAGCTCAAGGAAAGGCTAAAAAGTGAAAGACTAGCTTAGTCAAGGTCACAATCCCAATGTTGTTCACATAATAGGGATGCCATTTTCTCTGACTTAAATGTTTGTTCTTAATTTTGTGTTGAGAAAAAACTTTGGATACTTATTTCATGGAGTGAATTAACCTTGACTTACCAGAGGAATTTCCATTCGCCTACCCACCTTTGCTGCTACTCCATTTTGTTGGTTTAAAGAGAATTAAAACTGAAAACAGGTTTGAATTAAAATGATTGTATGTGGAGAATTATTGGGAAATCTGTTTGTCTGTGTCAAATGAAGGGGATTTTTAATGTACAAAAATACAGAAATCTTACTAAGTTTTACCTAGATTTTTGTTTGTATCAGTTAAAATGATAATTCATTAAGGAAACAATATTTCAGGCACAGCTAAATATATCTTTGCACTATAATTATATTAGCACAGTGGATCACATCATCCATAAAGATAATCACATCTCATTTTGAAAATGTGCTTATGCTGAAACTTGATAAATGGGTAGCCTCTTTATATTCATACATGCATGACAGTTATAGGGATTGTTGTGAAAGCTCTTACATTTGGTTAATAAATATTATTGTACCAATTTACTTATTGTAGCGGTTTCTGTTGCAAAACTTTTTTTTTACACATCAATTTACCAGTTAATTTAAATTACTGCTTAAATTGACTCACAAAGTTAGATTTCATCAACCATGTTAATTTCAATAGAAATGAATGAAGTTTTTTTTTTTCATATGATTATAGTCAGCTTTCACCCGAGAATGGTGGCGTGGATTTTCCCCATTTACTAAATGAAACTCTGCAGAGCCTCCCATGCACACCCAACCCCGGTTGTAGAAATTGCCACATATCAACTTCTTATGGAGGACTATTAGGTCACATTCACAACAGCAGTCTAAATATGACTTTTGTAAAGCAAAATTTCCCCCCTCCCCCTTTTTTTTCTCCAGGCTGTTATTAAAGGACAAAAAGACATGATATTGTAAAATATTTTATTTGAACTACAACCCTCAACAAATAATACATATAAGTAATTATGCAGGAACGCACTGAACTTGAGAAGATAATCAAACAATGCCTGGTGTTGCTAGGTGTTAAGTTATTATACAGCATGTTAGAAAATTTCAAGAGACTTTTAAAGGCTTATAATATTATTTCAAGAACAGTGCATCATTAATGATCAAACAGTTTTTATTCTTTTAGATCTTTAGCCTTCAGAGTAATCTTAAAATTAAAAAATTAAGTTTTCGATTAGCTATGTGTAATTTTATAATCAAGACTAAAATTTGGCGTTTTTAGCTCTCAACTTCGTATTGTTAAATCTTTATTAATTGTAATATTTAGCTCTTAGATTGCAAGGCGCATTGCTATTTTAAATGAAATGCGCCATATAAAAATAAATTATTATTATAAAGAGAAGAATAAGCTTGAAAATATCAAGGATATGTTAAACAAAAAAGTGAAATATAAATGTCTAAATATCATTTAAGACAGGTTGATAAAGTTAATGAATGAGTTAATATGAATACCATGTGACTAGATAAACAATCATCACTTCATTTTCTTATGACTGTGGGCAGAAAACACTTTTAAAAAATCTTGGTTATTTTGAGTCTACCACAACCCTGAACTTTTGAAACATTGCAATTTGTTAAAAATCTCAAATACATTAGGAATAATAATAATAAACTGGCTCACCACAAAACAAATTGGTCTTAGATACATGAGTGTACAGGTACACAACATCTGAGCTATACTGTAACATTGCACAAAGGCCGCATTCAGAACAGAGACTAACAGATCCGCAGATCAAATATGGCCAACCCACTAGAATGCTTGTTGCATAATCCCCGTGGGGAATCTATTCAGTGTCTTATTGAGAATTAAGCAGCAAGCTTTTAAGTGGGTCGCCATATTGGATCTGCTGACTTGCTAGTCCCGTTCTGAATTGGCTCTTAAAGATAAACGGTACAAGTGTAAAGACAAATCACACAGAATGTCTAATAACTGCAAAGTAAATTTTAAATACCCAAAAAACAAAATCGATGCATCCATCAAAAAAATTAATAAATGGCATCAATTTAGAAAAAATATTCTTTTTTTAAAAATTTAAATCTGAAGGCTCTTTACAGGCTTTACTTTTTCCTGAGTTATCCATGTTCCACCAAGTGTAGAGATCAGTCTGCTGCTTAACTGGTGCCTTTGGATCATGGAGTTTTTCACAGAGTTTACAATACTCATCCTGTGTATCAATTGAAGAAAACTGTTCCTTAGCTTTTAAATACTTTATGTATTTGGTGTCATCTTTATCAAGTGCATTCAAGTATTCAGCTAATTTTTTGGGGCTTTCAAAGTCCCTAGTGTTGATGTACCAATCTGATGGAATTTGATAAGCCTCCATATTAGCTCCATTTCTGACTACATTAACTATTGGATAAGGGAGGGTTTTAAAGAATTTTTCTGTCATGTAATCCTCTGATAATGAATTTTCAAAACTCAAATGAAACTTATACTCTGTGGCAATCTTTTTTAAGCAATCCTCTCCATGTGGACACTGTAGTTTTCCACACGCTCCAATTATGTCCACTGGTATATACTTGGCCAACTCTTCTACATATTTTTCCCTTTTTGATTCTGTCTGGCAATTGCTAACCATCCATACCACTTGTTTCTTCTTCAGTTTCATTATAGCATCATAATCATTATGCACAGGGCTAGGACGTTTGAAAATTTCCCCATGATATACTGTTATATCAGCATTAAACCTATAGGAAATAGTCCAGTTAAAATCCCCATTCCAGGGTGTGCCTTTGATTGGACTCAAATCATGATAACAGGGGCTTTCTAATGCATACACAGCCCACCGTTGATGTGGCAGTCGGAATGCTGGTCTCTGGAACTGGGTAATTTGGAATGCGTGGAAGAGTAAGGCATCACTTCTGTCCAAGTAACATCTGTCAGTGACAAAAAGGCAGTTTCTCTGACTACAGTTGTTCCTGTCTAATATGTAGCGTCCAAGCTTAGGTATAAACCAGGTCTGTGAACCAAAAAAATGTGTCCACAATAGAATAATCTTTGTATCCTTGTTATACTCTGGATAGGCTTGAAATACCTCACTATTATCTTTTTCTTCATTACTATGAATGCATCTCATATACTTTGATTCATTTTTCCACTTTAGACTATATGTCCATGGTCGCAATGCAATGAGTACAATGATGACTATGGAAATGATACCAAAATAAAGATATTTCTTGGTGCTTCTTCTCCTTCGTCTGTGCATTTTTTCACTTTCAAAGCTTGCTGCCAACATTTACTTCCCAGTCCAAAAGCCTGAGTGACTGTTTGCGCAAAAGGAAAAGCAAAAGCGTTATGATGTTTAACAAAGATATTGCCCACACACTTATGCTTATAGACATGTGGGTCAAGGTCAGATCAGGCTTCCATTGCACAGTGTTTGCATATCTCTGTTCCTCGAGCTCACACCCAGTTTGTGAGTTACCTTGAAATCACCAGCCATCAGCTCTTGTTCCAACATTTACATTCCCATTACCATGTGTAAAACACATAGTGTAGCACATCTAAAATTTAAAAAAAACGTAAGGATTAATCAAAATAGCAATAATACCAGCATTGCATACACACTCTACCACCTACTTTTCATGCAAACAGTGAACCATTTCTGTCATTAAATATTTACATGTATCACTGCATACAGGAACATATGTGAATGTGTAATGTATAAGAACGTTAAGCTTTTAATAGTGCCAACACATCTTGTTGGAATACAACAAATGCCTCGATATTTTCCCTTATTAATTCTGTAAACATGAAACTTTTATCAACCCAATACAAGGCGTTTCCACATACTAATAGTCATACTTTCACTACAGTACCTAGTACAGTACAGATATAGATATGAATTTTAAATCAATTTAACTGCAAACGCGTTCCTTTTCTCATTTACATTAGCTCTAACCAAGACAGATGGGTTCAAGAAATATTAATAATGTAAAATGCTAACAGTAATACAACCAGTTCGAGTACTGTGGGCTGGGCTAGAGTTCGACATCCAATCGTAAAAAGTTCACAGAAATCTCGCTAGTACTTCCTTGTTGAATTTCCAGGAGGTGAGACTCTGTATAAGTAGCAATTCTTACCTTTCTTTATCAATTATTCAAAACATGTTGACTCTGTGATGGGTGAATTATGTAGAGAGATTACGCGACCCGATTACACGTGCCTAATTATTGGCCTCGACCTCATTCTTCCTATATGTGATTAGTTCTGCAAACTGCACGTTTATACTAAATTCACATATAAAGACTGGAAAACAATGATTAAATCAATTTAAGCATATAATTTTGTAAGATTGTATATTCGTTTCCGACCGGTACATTATCAAGTAAAAATTACCATTGATAAGCCCATTTATTCTCTCAACTTTTTCTGTGGAACAAATCAGTAATTTAATCCATTTGAAGATTGGTGTTGTTGCCACGTTGTTAGTTTATCTGACATTTATACTGATTTACGGTAGGTATGATACTGTAGAGACATTTAGCACTTAAAAGTGATTTTTTATCAAATGCATAACCATAAGATTGTATCCTAAGTGTACAAAAAAGGGAGTTTGATATATTCATATGCCCTGGCGCTGACCAATATTTTATCATTTTTCTTAAGTTTTTGCTTCTATTTCTAATTAAGGTTCTGTGTGCATATGGCGATCTTTTAGGTTGCCTAGTGCAAGGTTTCAAAAAACAGTTTTAAAATGCACTTAAAAATTGACGTTTTTTTTCCTCTGGCCCAGAACTTATGCCATGAATCCTAACATAAATCATTGATGTGAAAATGATAAAATGATTGATGGCAGCTCCATGATTTACTTAAGTGTAAAGTTTAACTATTGATTTTCCACTTGCTAGCCAAACTGTTTTTTAAGGAAATACGTTTTGGAAGCCTTACATCTTGAGGCTCTTACCGAGTCTTTAAATATGCCATTTTCATTATGCTACTGTCATCAGCAAAGTTTCGCCAGGTTTTTCCTGGCGCCAACATTACATTTTGGTACAATCATTTAATTATTTAGTTATCTACAAAATGATATGTCCATGTTTTTCGATTTTATTTATGAATTCTTTAGAGCAAGATGATGGAGGAAGTAACAGCCCCTGATTCCCCAGATGCTCTGGCACAGAAAGTGTCAGAGACTAATTTAGAAGAAGCCCTACAGGAGGCAGCACATGATATGAATGGTAGGTTAATAATCTCAACATCCAGTCATGCTAAAATGAGGTACATATATAGCAGTTTCAGCAAGGCACAATTAAAATGTTTATATGGATATAGGGTCCTCAGTGGATTGACCCATAGAGTTCTGCCAACACAAATAATTTATGATATCTCCGAAATAAGATTATTCTATTATTTTTAACCCAATTTAATATTAGTTCACATGTGCATTCAAAAAGAAAAAGAACGGAAGAACATAAAAAAATTATGAAGAACAAAAGTTTTAAAAGTGAAAGCAGTGATATTTTAGTAGGGGCATATTAGAAAGAAGGGACCTACTTAATCTGTATATAGTAGACACTATCTCCTTTAACCATCTATCCCTTCAAGTCATATAAAATTTGGAGGCATGATAAATTCATGTTGAATAGGTGCCCATTGCTTTGTAACACCAATGTTACATGTATCTGGTTAGAATTGTGATCTACATGATATTTTGACTCTAGCATGCTCACATACACTGTACTTTTAGTGAGGTCTAGCTAAAATAATTGACCACCAGGTTTACCTATAGAAGAATATATAAGTTTGCATCTTCATTAAGAAATATTTTGAAAATTGTCTGAATATATACTATTTTGTGTAACCATCATTTGTTAAGCAGAGACATTGGGTACAGTATACCTCTTTCAAAATATACTGGGGTTACAAACTGCTAGTTTATGTAAACTACAATAAGTTAAAAACCATCTGTCAAAGACAAAATAGAAACACATTTGATTTAGCCTTTTAAAAATGCAGCTTTCCAGATGTACAAGTCCCAGAGAATGGTTTCAGTAGAATGTTATCAGGAACACATTGTAGTTTAGGGCGATCTGTGCTTTTATTTTAAAATATATAACATGTTTGATTCTCATAGGGAGTTCAGCTGCTGGTGCCAAGTCCTCCCCAGCTAAACCTCCAGGAGCCTCCATAGCCCCACCTTCCAAGCTACCACCCCAGTTTGCTGCAGGTCTTGTGAGTCCAGGGCAGACAGCACTGGTGCCACCAGAACCTGCACTTACAACCACAGGAGCGCCTGGAGCACCTCAGGTAAGGGACCATTCCCATAAACCTATTGTACTAGCTGGATCGATGTAACTCCTCAGGGATTCTCAGTAAATTGCATTCAGTTTAATTGGCTTAAATGTCCTGCATGCCCTCTCATAACTTAGAGTACTTGAGTAAAGTCGGGAAAACTTTGTAATCCACGATGTTGTTTATGTTGGTTTGCATTGTCTGTGCCTTAGCTAGAATCCGGGCTAAGTTAGATTGATCCTGTGAGTACAATAAGTTTATGGGAACACAAGATATACTATAATGATAGTTTTTGTATGTAACATATATGGCTATTACAATAAATCTGGTAATCTGCAGTAGCTTAATATCCATGTATCTTTTTTTTTATTTAATTGAGGTGAGGACCTATGGGTAACATAAACTACATGTGATAATGTAGGCAGTCATTTTTAGGATAAATTTTAGAATTTAGGAAGAAGTTCAATGTTGTTTTTGAAATGTAGGTATCTCCTTCTTCTCAGGCTACCGCAGTCCAAGGTTCAGCTCCCAGAATTTTTACTCCTACCATTACCCCAGAACCACAGCAAGGATCACAAGCAGTGTCCTCCAATACAGGGTAATAACTGTATTTGTGATAATTTCTACTTTTCACGTATTGCTATTTGTCACAATTATTCAATTGCCACTGCATATGCAGAACTTCAGTGAATGCGATTATATGGGCAGTATGAAAACGCAAGGTAATATTGAGAACTGCCACTTTGACAAATTACTTAGGACCAACTTACATATGAAAAAGTTTTGACAATGTATTATGAACAATGTATTATGAAAATTATCTTTTTCACTGCGTTTGTAATATTATTTTCACACTAGATAATCCAGCATATGAGTGTATGAAGTATTCTAAATAAGTGATTATTCTGGTAATATCTATGATAAAACAAACAGGTTAAATTTGTATCCTTCTTTCAGTCCTGCTGTGCCGTCAAGTGTGAATGCAGCAGGTGTGCCAACACAATCCCCAGCACAATACTACTCCGCTCCAGGTGAGAGACCAGTAGACTTTTTACTTATAAAAGGTCTTGACTTAATGCTTATATGTCATTTGTACAAAAAAGGTCCCAAATATTTATGTTTTATTTTTTATTTAAGATAGAACGTGTTCAAATTGTAAGTTTTCAGTTCTGGGAATAATAAAATTGAAACTATGACAGAATTGGTAAGAATGCCAAATAAATGTAAAAAAAAAGCTTTTAAAAATTGATTGAAACAAAGGCAATTTATATGATCTATCAAATAATTTTTATCTTTTTCTCAAAATTTGTCTATTCTGAAATATAAAAATCCATTTCATTAGGGCCCATGCAGACGCCCCATGAAGCTAGTGCATCCATCAATGTCCCTGATGAACAGCAGACACAGATGTCTAGCTCAGAACAAAGTAGCAGTGAGGGTGGAGGGATATTTGGCTGGTTTAAGAACAGTGAAATAATGCACAAAGTCATGGAGAAAACAAAGGTGAGAAACAAAGTCTAAACAATTATGATAGAAGAAAAAGGTACACATTTAAATGTTAATTTTATGTGAACTTTGTTTGCTAAAAAGTTAAAAATCTGATATCATTTTCATCAGTCAGAACATATGACAGGTTGGTCTGTAGTACAACAAAAATCAACTCTGAGAAGTGAGACGACTCAAGATGATTAAAATCAATTGAAGGGGCAAAACATTATTTTGGATATTTATTGTGGTATTCTAAACAATGAATATTTTATTTTCAGAGTTCTGTTGAGTCTATGATAACGACATTAGATCCAGGAATGAAGCAAGTTATATGTAAGTATGTGAAGGCAGTTGTAACATGAAGTTCTCAGTCTAAAGATTTTTTTTTTTTTTTTTTTTTTTTTTTTGATTGAGGGTTTAACCCTTGTTGATGGTGTATGAATTATTTCAGATGCAAGTGGAGATGTAGATATTGTTGTCACCTCGGACAAAGATGTCAAAGTGGGACCCGTAAGGGATGCTTTCCTGGAGGTGTTTGGCAAAGCATCTGTCACAGGAAAGGTAGGTTAGAATGGTTAGAATAGAAAAAGCAGTTTATTCTTATAGAGAACAGTGGTGTCATAGCAATTATTTTGTTTGGTATCTGGAGGAGATGGCAAGTGTTTTAGTTCTTGGATATAACGTCATTCGTATCTGAGAATAACCTAGAAAATATGTAATTGAAATGATTATTTGCAATAATTATTTTGCAGTAGAAATGATTAATACATCTATGTCCAACATATTACCTTTGTTACCATGGATTCCCTTCGGTTTAATTAGCAAGACTGTGGCTGTGTCTAATTGCCTCAATCTTTCCATGTTAATGATACTTAAAGGAGTGATCCTCTTTCTCTAGGCTAGCCAACCAAGCATAGCACCCCAGCCAGTGGGCTATACAGCTGGGTTTAAAGGGGCAGAGGAGAGGATACAGAATTTGAGAAGAAATGGCACGATACACGAAAAACAACCTGCCGTCTCTGTTGAAAACTTCATTGTCGAAATGTTGCCTGACAAGTATGTGTTACTACGTATTGGTCCTTATTTTGTCATGAACTGATCAAACGCCAGACATGTTTTAACGGTGGAGTTATGCTTTTGTGAAAAAATTATGGCTTTGCATACTGTTTTGCATAATTTAAGCTTTTCTTAACAGTGATATTGATATATTTGATATGACAGCCCTTTATTACTCCATATTTGACAAATCTGTATATTGAAAAACTACTGTAACAGTGCATGTATATATTTTCATCTACAGATTATTAAAAAAAAAGCCAATTTTAATCTTCTTTTCTTCTTCCAATATGGTTTCTTAAGATGCAAGAATTCCTAGTGCATATATCCTTTTTGTAAATTTGTTTTCACTTACTACCCTTAATTTGCAAAGGCACTTGCAGAACAAGTCACTTAGTGCACCTGGTACACTAGGCCTGGAATGAGAAAAAATACTACAAGAGAAGGACATATCCCTGTGTGATTTAATTACTCACATTCTTGACGAAGAGATCTCCTAGAAATGTGTTCTCATTCATCTTGATTGTGCAAAAGAATCTGTCCTTACACGAAACAAGTGCCTTGTTAACAGTTTCTATCATTTTAAGCAATTAGTTTTTATCATTGTCACTTTTCACTTAGAAGCACTTCGTGTGGAAATCTAATTTTTGATGATATTCTGTTATGAGCTATCAGTCATTGTACATTCTACTTTCATAAAGCAAGACTCAACTTTTTTAAACATATATATTTAAAAATCTGAAATAGTAAGGTTTTCTTCTATGTTTAAAAAAGTTGTATGTATGTATTTTAGGTGGTTTGATGTAGGCTGTATCCTACTAAGAGATCCAGGGCACCAGATAGACCTACAGACATTCACTCAGGCCACCCCAGTACCCGTGGACCTGGTTTTAGAGGCCCAGGACCTCACTCCTGCCGACTATAACCTGCGGTGGTCAGGTCTCTCTGTGACAGTTGGAGAACTTATCAATAGGAAAAACCCCCAGATCAGTCACTCAGACTGGCATGTCCAGTACTGTGGGATAAGCAGGAGGGAGCTGGTTTATAAAGCGGCAAAGTCAATAGCATGGATGTACATGCAGAGACTTGGCACTGTGCCCCTTTGAAGATTCTGGTGTAGGGTTTTTTTTTCTCTGTATATATATATAAATATTTTATCATTTCTTTGATTTTGGAGTGTTTACACTCTTAAAACATCTGATGAGAGAATATACCACTTGAGTCCGTCTCATTTCTATGTCTGCACATACAGATGTTTTGGCAATCCATGACGTTCATTCAAATGATGAAGTGCTGGAAGTGTTATTGTGGAAATATGTGTGTGCTGAGAACAAGTGGTATAATTGTGGCATAATTTAAAAAGTATATATATATATATATATAAGTCTCAAAGAGCTTACAGGTAATCAAATTCATGCACTATAGTAAAAGAAGACTAGTTTTATTTAATTAAATTTAACCAGATTAAAGATAATATCTGTGCATACATGCAAATGTTGGTATCATTGCAAAAATGACAATTAGGTGTAAAGCACTTGTGATGGATTTGAAGTGATAGTAAATGATAGGTCATTGATAACAGGCAAGTCTCATAATGACAATTTAGTAACCAAGTCCATGTTATATTTGTATTGTACTGTTATAGAATGTTATTGATTTATCATGTTTTACTCATGGGAATACATGAGGAATTGCCATCGGGTAATGCAGGATTGTCTTCTGTGAATATTTTTGGGAAGCAATTGTACTTTGCAGTGGGAAATAACATAATATTGCAAATAAACGTCAAAATAACCCTGGAGGAAGTGGTGATGAAATGTCAAATTAGCTGTGGGAATTGCAAATGGGTTATTTATTGAAGGTGATTATAAAGAACCATGGTTTTAAAGAAATAACTTGGCCAGATCATTCATCATGGACTGGGAGAAACTATTTATACATTTATAGTAGACAAGTAGAGATTTTGTATCTCATCACAAATGACCTATTAAAATCAAAAATTATTCTGTAGGTTTTCCATTGAAAATGTCAAAATGTTTTACAGTTTGTAAATATACATTGCTAATTCATAAAGTTATGGTTCTTCTGTTAGTCAGAATGCGTGTTGACTTAAGACTTGAAAGAGCTCCTGGGGAGATCCCACCAAAGAAGGGATAAATTGTTTTACCAAGATTTAAAAAATACCTCTGAGCTTTAAGTATTTATATCTGTGGAAATTCTCAATAATGACTTGGGATAGACTGCAAAATTGGGTCAATTGACGATTAAACTACTTGCCTTTCCTCAATTGTAATTTCAATCATAAATTTTGATTGTTAATTCCATTTAATGTTGAGTCGGATCCGGGATGTTTTATCCTAAGGACATCTGTAGATGTATCCTATTATAAATTTAATCACCAAAACAATGCACTGAAAGTTACAAGTTATTTTCCGTAAGGTAAAAGGTGGGTAAGTTCCTGAACTTTGATAGAATTGAAATTTAATGAGAAACTAGAAAATTATTAAGTTGAAATTCGTAAACTGTCCTGTTATGTAAATCGCGTGATATAAATCCGTACAATTACTTGGAATTAAAATGCCGATTTCACTACGAAGACTCAACATTTTTTCCATTTATAGAAGATTGAATTCAGAACACAGCAACGTAGTGTGAGAAATTTAGACGAGGAAATAAAATCGGGCTTGTGAAGGAAGTGAAGGGCCTACGCATTCGTGTGCAATGGTGTTTAGCAAAAATATTAGAGGAAGAATATCGGACGTTTATTACAGTCACGCCATCGTTTTTTTTTTTTTTTTTTTTCACTTCATGGCCTCGGTCAAAGTAAGCAATGGACTTTAAGAAGTTATTCAGAATGTTACACGATTTGATGTGTAACATAGAACATTATCATTTTTAATCAAAGAGAACTTGACGTACGTACGAGATGGATATAATTGAAAGATAATTTATCCTTACGCCACACGCATTTTCGATTTGTGGCAAGCCCATTATACATGCTGAAGGGGTTTTGACATGTTTTAAAGACATTTCTTTAAGCTAAAAATCGTATCTTAATATTAGTGCAATAAGCTAAATACTTTTAAAGCAAAACATTCCTTATTTACTGTTGTATTCGCCACCACGCGTTTCTGCGCACAAATCATTTATCAATTTTCCTGTTTTGAGATGGTTTCCGAACTCGGTAACCAAGACATGAAAATAGGCACGGTTGATGAGTAGGGTGTGAATTACAAGCTGGTGCAAGCCTTTGGTTTTACTTTTCTGATTGGTCTGTTGTCCGCGTCGTCGCCGTCGCTGTTGCTGTCTGACACATGACGTTCGCCCCATAAGTTCCACTTCATATTTTTGTTTTACTTTAAATTTACTGAGTGCCTTTTTTATGTAAAGAGGCAGGTTGCTTTCAAAATTCGACACAATTCGTTTACATTTACGGTAATTATTCCGTTGTTTTTTTCTTCTTTTTGGCCACAATTTTGGTAAGGTTCGCCCCATAAGTTCCAAACCGTATTTTTGTTTTACTTTAAATTCACTGAATGTTTTTGTTTGTTTAAAGAGGCAGGTTGATTTCGAAAGTTATTTACGGTAATTATTCTTTTTTTTTTCACAATTTTTGGTGACGTTTGTCCCATAACTGCCAAACCGTTTTTTTTTTTATTTTTTTTTTTTTTTGTGATTTTTTTTCACTTTTTCACACATTAGCATTTGCAGTAGCTTTTACATCCCATGAATCACTAGATAGTTTTTCAATGTTCATGTTACCTGTCGTACATAATGGAAGAGGGTAAGAGTGGTTATGCTTCTTTAAAGCAATATGTAACAGTGCATCAAAATTGGCAAAAACATTATTTGGTGCACTTTTTTTTCTGTGTAATATCTGAACATTTGTCAGCTTTGCTGCCTTGTTCCCTGTATGGTGTCTGTATATTTGCCAGCTCTGCTGTCTAGTTTCTTTAGGAGATATGAGCCCATAATAGCGACATTCCACTAAACAAAAGTATTTATTTGTTTGTTTCCTGTTAATTTCGTACAGGTAAGTAAGTCATTCAAGAGAATTTCACCGGATTGACGCACTTATTGATTTGATTAAATAAGCTAAAGAGGCGATATCTGTTCGTGAGATCTGTTTTTCATTGATATTTTAGCTTTCGACAAAAAAATGCTGCTGTTTCGTCTTCAGCTCGATATATGATCACACATGATCAAGGGATATAATAGACTTATAAGGCGGCATTTACCACACAACCTCAGAAGCAGAATTTTTGGTTTATATGTGACACTTCTTATCGCCTACATTGAAAATTATCATTTATTAATGACGAAAAATAATAAGATACAAAAATCCAATAATAGGGAAAGAATCAAACATCCCCCTTATTATAGGCCTATAACTGCCATAATATCAGTAGGTTAATGAGTGCAACCAAGATTAATTAAGAAAAATATGTGAAACTACAACAGCTATTGGAGCAAAAAGTTGGCAAATGAAAAATAAAGGCCATTCTGTTTTGTGAATTAAGGATAATGATAATGGTCCATAAGATATGAAGCCAATCATCGAAAAACGATTGCACAATTCCAAATAATGGTTGAGTTTCACGTCACGCAATTCCCTTCAAAGGTTAGGTCGAAATTTTTAATTAGGAGTTTCTATTTCTTTAATCAAAATAATAATAATAATAATAATAATAATAATAATAATAATAATAATACTCTTTCCTCTGTTAAGATCAAAGCTCAAGTTATTCAGAATGTTACACGATTTGATGTGCAACATAGAACAATATCATTTTTAATCAAAGAGAACTTTACGTAGGCCTACGTACGAGATGGATAAAATTGAAAAATAATTTATCCTTACGCCACATGCATTTTCGATTTGTGGCAAGCCCATTATACATGCTGAAGGGGTTTTGACATGTTTTAAAGACATTTCTTTAAGCTAAAAATCTTATCTTAATATTAGTGCAATAAGCTAAATACTTTTAAAGCAAAACATTCCTTATTTACTGTTGTATTCGCCACCACGCGTTTCTGCGCACAAATCATTTATCAATTTTCCTGTTTTGAGATGGTTTCCGAACTCGGTAACCAAGACATGAAAATAGGCACGGTTGATGAGTAGGGTGTGAATTACAAGCTGGTGCAAGCCTTTGGTTTTACTTTTCTGATTGGTCTGTTGTCCGCGTCGTCGCCGTCGCTGTTGCTGTCTGACACATGACGTTCGCCCCATAAGTTCCACTTCATATTTTTGTTTTACTTTAAATTTACTGAGTGCCTTTTTTATGTAAAGAGGCAGGTTGCTTTCAAAATTCGACACAATTGGTTTACATTTACGGTAATTATTCCGTTTTTTTTTTCTTCTTATCGCCTACATTGAAAATTATCATTTATTAATGACGAAAAATAATAAGATACAAAAACCCAATAATAGGGAAAGAATCAAACATCCCCCTTATTATAGGCCTATAACTGCCATAATATTAGTAGGTTAATGAGTGCAACCAAGATAAATTAAGAAAAATACGTGAAACTCAGGGGCGGATCCAGGGATATTTTCTGACAGTCTTCCAAATTATCTTTGTTAATCCATCCTCCATTTTTGACCGTCTTAATCCATCCTCCATTTTTGACCGACAGAAAACATTAGATACCCGTCAATGTAAACTTAAAAATCTGACCGTCTTCCGGAAGACCCAGAAGACGGCCTAAATCCGCCCCTGAAACTACAACAGCTATTGGAGCAAAAAGTTGGCAAATGAAAAATAAAGGCCATTCTGTTTTGTGAATTAAGGATAATGATGATGGTTCATAAGATATGAAGCCAATCATCGAAAAACGATTGCACAATTCCAAATAATGGTTGAGTTTCACGTCACGCAATTCCCTTAAAAGGTTAGGTCGAAATTTTTAATTAGGAGTTTCTTTAATCAAAAAAAAAAAAAAATAATAATAATAATAATAATAATACTCTTTCCTCTGTAAAGATCGAAGCTCAATCATGAATATGCATTTTTACACCACTTCACTGACTTCAAATGTTTTAAACTAATATTAAAGTGCAATTTTCCGAGAACGAGGTTGGTTGTTATTTTATGTTTTGGTGTCAACAGATCTAGAGGGCCTAGAAAGTAAATGGAATTCACGTACATGTCGATTTTGAAAACTATGTAAATCGTACGTTTATTACAGCCCCGCCATCGTTATTTTTTTCCTTCATGACCTCAGTCGTAGTAAAGCGATGAACTTTAAAAGTTATTCGAAAATATTACACGTTTTGATGTGTAGTATAGCTCATAATGATTATTTTCAACCAAAGAGACCTCGTCATACACCCGACTCGGGCATAATTTAAAGATAAACCTTACGCCACACACATTTTCGATTTGTGTTTCAAAATAACTAAATCCTTTTCCGTTTTGATGGCAAGCCCATCATACATGCTTAAAGGGGTTCGAAATGTTATAAAGACATTTCCTTTATGTAAAAATCTTATCTTAATATTGAGGCAATAAGGTCAATACATATAGAACAAACATTCCTTATTTACTGTTGTAGGCTATTAACCACCAGACGCTTCTGCACACAAAGTGGGCAATCATTTATCAATTTCCCTGTTTCGAAATTGGTGTGAGTTATCGGTTTCCGAGCTCCGTAACTAAGAGACATTTCCCACAGATATTTAGATCGATCTATCCCCCTGGGAAGTCTCACTAGATTGCTGTCAGCTCGACTGGCTTAAATGTCTGTCCCGCCTACTAAAGGAAGCTGAGAGCAATTTATCGTGAACCCCCAGAGAGTAAGGTCGATCCAGATGGATCGATCTAAATCTGTGGGAACCCAGTCTAAGATATTATCATGAAAATAGCCATGGTTGGCGAGTAGGGTGTGAATTACAAACCCGTACTAGCCTTGGGTTTTACTGTTACTTTAGGAGATATGAGCCCATAATTACGACGTTCCAATAAACAAAGGCAGGAATTCGTTTCTATATTGATAATTTCATACAGGTAAATAAGCCATTCCAGAGAATTTCACCGGATTGCAATACTTACGTATTTATTTGATTAAAT